ATATATATATAAACATACATATACACATACATATACACACACAAAACACTATATAGATATATAAACAATCCAACATAAGTAAAGTGGGATGCCGAAGGAATTTAGAAAAACGGACAAGTTCATGGATTGTGAAAAATGCCTCCAGTCCCCCTCAATACATTAAACTGTACCACCCCCACAGAGGCCCTTTATAACTTCCTCCCGTGATATCTGAAGCCAGGCAAAATCTCATGCACTAACATCCTATAGACTTTAATGGGACGTTGCTCCTGCAGGCCAGGTACATCCCATTTAAGTCTACGAGTACTGGAAAGAGGTGGAATAGAAGTGTTCGATCTGCCAGGGTTTTCCTACTGGTGTGACTGGCCAGAAAGAGGTGGTATAGGTGATCTGACAACAGAGGATCCTTGTCTCCTTGGTTTGTAGTGGCGAAGATCTTGATTCAATGTAGGGTTGAGGGACAGTAAAGAAATAAGCAACGAGTTTCTGGGGCTTATACAAATACCCCCTTTATCAGGGTTGACTAAGTGAGAACATGTATGAGGACTGTGAAGGCTTGAAATTGGATACCCTTTTGTCCATTGTGTGAGAATGTATGGATGAGAGCCTAAGCCTGTCAAATCAGCTGCAATCAGAGCATGTAAGTAAGGACCATGTATTCTATTGAGGTGTCAAGGAAGTGTGGCTGGGGGGGGTGTTGAAACAAATTATGAACTTTGCTTTAAATAAAAAGCAGTTTTCCCCTTTCTTTATTAAAACAAGAAAGTATAATTTCTACAACCTAAGCAGAAATGTTGTTATTCCCATAACCCAGTGCCTAATGTCTAATACCTTGCATCTGTCCATTTTCCATCCTGATCTGTTCCTGTATCAACCTCTGCTGCTCCTCCAGCTGTCTAGAGCCTTCTTCACGAAGACGTCTTATCTGAAGAAAGAAATGCATAAAATGCACTATACATCACCTTTAAAAGACTTCACTCTAAACAAACAATATGCCGGCAAATTTAAATACAAAGAGATTTTCATCTATGATGTCAGGGAAAAGTAAACCCTGTGTAAGCTCCAAACAGACTTGATGGACCTTACACAAGGCTATGGACGGTCACATGGGGGGGGGGGAAGAGTCTGAAAGTGGAAGGGGAGAGAGGAGAGACCATGATGCTCAGGAGAGGAGGGTTAACTAAAATGGGCAAAGGAAAGGGCTACTTTAAGGGCTCCTCGCACCAGCCAACATGCTGAAATGATCCATTTAAGCACCTTGGATGGTCTCAGTGTATGCTGGCGGTGGGGGGCACTGTTTAGCTGACATTTCATTCATTTCTATACACTGCATAGATTGACAGCGACTTCAGGTGAGCTGCAGTGGTGTGAAGAATAGGGTACATAGAAAACTACAGTTTTCTGTGTGCCCCTGCAGAGATCTGCTTTGCTCATGTGCAGAGAAATACAGGTCTCCACACACAGTGTGAGCAAGCAGTAGGAAAAGTGTGGTACTCAAGTCTAAAAACCTGCCATTTTTCAAGGCTAGGATACTACTATAAACGCAACAAACAATACATGTATATAGGAGCTTTGCAAAACAGACAAGATTTACCTCTTGTTCTAATGTCCGAGCAACACGTGCTTCTTCCTCCTCTGTTACCTTCGCCTGTGCCTCTCTTTCTCGTGCCTCCAGATCTCATGAAGAAAACAGAAAATACTGCATCATGTCTGCTATGTGAAGTACACTGTAGAGTAATACTAAACAAACAATACAAAAATGTAAAAGGGAATTGCTTATCCAATTACAGATACTAAAAGATTGAAACACCATCAAAGAACAAAGAATAGAGAATACCTGGGAAGTCAAGAGTTTATACGCCACTCACTCCCCATTCTGCTAGTATCCCAGCTGTTGTGACAGACCAGTATGCAGGGTGGGCTGCAATAATAAGGAGGACCCATTGGACACAGGCTGGCAATAGCAGGACTTCTTTCTGCAGGGCTGCGTAATAACCCTGACTGACTGTCAGTAGAAATTGTGGTCCAATTTCCATTTAAGACGGAAACTACCCTGGACAAAATGTGTTGATGGCCTGGAGAAATAAGTCACCATGCTGACCTAGCCTGGATTTGTCAAGTGGTGTCTAAGGAGATTTATATGTTGTGACAATTGGTTAACTACAGAAATTCCAGAGAACCTCAACCTGATCTAGATATCTTACCTTCCTTAATAATACTGGAGTTCTTTGACCACTTGATGTTTGCAAGCTCCCTACGCTGAAAGTTCTTGAAATCTACAGTGAACTAGCAGCACTCAAATCTCAGATCAACAATAAAAACCAATCAGCATGGTCCCTGATCATGTGATCAACCATGATGGTGGTCACATGCAGGCTGAAGGTTAGTTTACGTCAAACTTCTCCAACCTGCAGTTGGCACTGTGCTTCTCTCTCTGTGCACACACTATGCACAGGAAAGGAGTACGATGTCAGAAATAATTAAGGGTGACAATCAAAAATACATTTTTCACACTTGTGTCTATTTGTCAGCTTATAATAATAAAAAAGCAGGGTATTTATTACATATTGAAAGTGCTAAATTTTGTCTGGGAATCAAGGATCACCAGTCATGGAGGGTTTAAATGTGCAGGATGGCAGCAAAACAGATGACTGTGACTGTCTGGAAACTTTAAATACAATATAAAAGTAAGGTCTACCTGGTACCAGGAAACACCACAACCTTGGAAAAACTGTGCTGCCGATTTATAGAGAGCCACATTTTTATAGTGCACCTGGAAATACATAGAATCTCTTACCAAGTTTCACTTTCTTTCTTTTGTCATCAAGTTGTTGTGCCCTCTTGGCAGCGGCCTCCTTGGCTTTTCGGAGTTGGTCATAAGCAGCCTAAAGGAAATTAGACCAGCAAAGTAAATGCTGATTGTTTCAGAATTTAACTAAACACAAAGTATAAGGCAGTGCATAAAGTGGCATGGTGGTCAGGTGATTACAAGTGCTTTATACATCACAGCATTAGGCTGGTAATGCACTTAAACAAGAATGTTCCTAGTATTTTTCTTTTCAGGTTGAATGTAATATTCGGAAAATACTGCATTATGGCCACTAGAAGGAGCTGAGAAATTTAAGAAAGAAGTATTTAATTACTATGCTCCTCAACTTCATCTAGTGGTCATAATATGGAGGGAGTCTGAGCCGGGAGAAGCTGACCCTTGTCTTCTCCTTCTGCCTAGCTGACACACACCGGAGGAAGCAGGCAGCTCTGTGCTGCTCTGCTGCCTACATTTCTCTCTGATCGGCAAAGCAGAAGAAGCAGAATACCGTAAGCTGCTACAGCTTGTTGTATCACTCCCTGAACAGTGACAGCACACCAGGTGTGCACTGTCACTGTGGAATATGTACCTAATAAACAGCGGTCCCTGAGGGATTTATATTCACTGCGCATACATAAATATACGTGGCACAGTGCCCTGCATTATATATAGTTTATCAGACTTTATAGGTTTCCCATAAGAGCTGTGCACGCAAGTTGCAGGTGCACAATTGAACCCAGGGTGCCTGCTTGGGAAGGGCATTGAAAAGAAAGGGTGCTGCAAAATCAACATTTTCCAGTGCTGTAACCCACCTCCAATCACCTTGTCAAAGCTTCGTTATCATGCAAATATCAAATTTATCCTAAATCTAAGTGCGAGCAACAAGACCTAGGAACCATGGACATCATAAGGACTGAGTCTGGTAGAAATTATAGTGGTGGTCACTCTCCTAGCTGTATGGGGGTCATTATGTGGCTATAGTTCTGCGGGGGTCATTATGTGGCTATAGTTCTGCGGGGGTCATTATGTGGCTATAGTTCTGCGGTGGTCATTATCTGCCTTAGTTTTGCGGGGGTCTTTATCTGGCTAAAATAATGTAGTGGTCATTACCTCCTTTCTAGCTGTAGTCACGGTCACTCCCTGGGTTCAGTGGTTGTCAGTCTCTGGCTGAAAAAATAACCATAATCCCTTTGTCTAATGAGGTAGCCACTATCTCCATGTCATATAGTTACATACAGTACCTGAACACTTACTTCAGTGTTACACTGGTCTCTCCCCATGACATAGAGAGAAGAGGGTAGCAAGGCAGGAATGCAGTGAGCATTCAGGTAAGAGAGCACTAGATGCATGCTGTAAAATTTTATGAGCTGACTAAACCACAAGTCCTATTTTGTACTTGCCATGGTAACGTGACACCTCATGTTTGTTGTGCGCTTGTATGGATGAATACTCTCTTTCTGGCATCACAGGGTGCAAGAACATCAGGAACATGCAATGGGCACCCTGCTTTAATCCATAAGTTTAAAAGGACCTACTGAAGAAACATTAAGCAGCATGCCAGCAAGTTCCCTATCTGACATATCCCTTAAGATGGCCATTCATTACATAATAATATATCTAGTATAATAATTGATCAATCTTTGCACAATCTCCTTTAGATTTACCAAAACAGACAAACCTAAAAACAGTCCATTCCGCTTGTATCCAGTCAGGGAGGCCCTTGCACTACATCGCTGTGAGTAGATCTAAAGGAGATTGTACAGTCAGATAGTATAGTAGCGACCCTAATCTTTGAAGACATTTGGTCTAATTTTAATAATGCACTTACCCTTGCTGCTCTATTGGTTAGTACTTCCAAGGCCTGAGACAGCTGGTGAAATAAGTCGGCTGAAATGAAACAAATAAAAATAGATTATTTGGGTATTATGGAACTATTTAAATCAGTTCTGAAAACAGTATTTGACTCTACAGTGACGTATGTTTTTATTTTGAGGCCTGCTACCTGCAGTGGTCTATCAACAGGTAAGGGCACATGGGATCCAGATTCAGAAACTTTTGAGAAGAGTTTACTATGGGTTCCTATGGCATTCCACTTACCTGTATAGAGGAGTACATGCAAACTAACATTCACTGCAAAAACAACATGTCACAAACATCTGTACACCCTTACCCATTAAAATCTGCCCATTACAAGTCCCTGTAACTGCAGCCATTTCTACCATGTTTAAGTTAACTAGTGTCTGGTAGCTGAATGTTGCATGAAACCGGAAAAATGCTATCTGATAATGGTGCAGCACAGGCATAAACCACAGGAAGCAATCAACACACTGGATATTTGGCAGGACCAACAATCAGCCGCGCCAGCTGCCAATATACCTGAAGAGTCTAAATCTGACCGGACGAAGGTGCTGCTCAACCAACAATTTTTAATCAAAGGATGTCTGGCAGGAGTCGGCAGACAGGGCCACCCACCGAGTCAACTGTCATCCGATTCATCAAGGATCCAATTTCACTCAGGCTGAATGAAAGAAACGTAAAAGATTCCTCCATCCACACTATATAATCTCCCCCTGACCCCAAACCCCTCCCCGCTAGGCAAATATATTCTCACAGCCAACATCTGCCCTGTTGTCAGAATACCCAATCAGTGACTACAGCTGATTGATTGCAGTCACTGTTCAGTTGACAATTTTCGAATCTGACTTTAAAGTAACACTAAACTCAATTAAAAATACATTCAAGTTCCTTAACTAACTGTATCTTATTTGTGTATCACTCGGCTGCAGATCCTCAAATCATCTCTGAATTGGTGCGGATACTGTCCTTCCTTTTGGAGAGTGGCTACGTTTGTTCCTCATGATCCCTGTGTGTGTCGTAAGCAGCCTCCGCTCCAAGCTCACTCCCATGATGGACTATTCAAAAAACCAAGAAAGGGCGCAGAGAACACTGGCTAGTTAACAAAGTAGTGATGAAAAACTGAAGGTGGTGGCACTTACGTGTGAATGCCAGGATCTGGAGATGGACGGCCGGTATGGAGGATCAGGGCACTCGTGGTGTGGTGTCCGACACAGGGAGGGGGTATGGATAGCAGGGGAGGGGGAGGGGAAGGACGTTGGTGCTGGTGGGATGTGGGTACTGGTTTCCAGAGAAGCAGATTTGCACTGCAGCCAATCAGCATATATCTCTATTTTTCAAATCGTACCTAAGCAAACTGAAGATCAATGCTGATTGGTCGCCATGGGCAACTGCTTCAGATTCTGTTTGCTCCAGTTTTGATGCATTTCCCCCATTGCTGTTAATAGTTAAGTTAATAGTTCGGGGGAACATTTATGCATTTTTAAGATTCAACTTCAGAGTTTAGTGTCACTTTAAGCTGGCCGTACTCCGCACAAATTTCAGCCAAGTCAGCAGGATTTGGTCAAAAGTTGTGCGGTGTATGGTCAGCTTAAAGGCTGGATAGATTTTGTGCAATTAAATGGTAAAAATATCCAATAACTACACTTCCTGTTTCAATCATTTTACAGTCAACGCAAAAAACATCCAAACTCATACACATGGAGGTCCCACTGATATTTTTTTTCCCCTTTTAGAAAACATTTGTTGTCAAAAGTAGAAGGAAAAGAAAAAAAAAAAAAGCTTATTGTTCTCACCAGCTCGGGGATTATCTGGATTTTTGTCTGGATGGCAAGTTAGGGCTTTCTGCCTGTATGCCTTTTTAATCTGGAGAAATGAAAACATATATTAAACAACTTTATAGACAGTTATCCATAAGGAGAAGAAACGCTTGCTTGTATGAAAATGGAACTCCAGCCCATTATTAGGGTCTCAGCACAATTTTGAATGAACCGAACTGTTGTCAGTTTTCAGTCAGTGACCGAGGTGGGCTGGGATGTGCTCAGGATCTCAGGAACACCAGCAGTGGATCTGTAACGTCAGCAGTACACAGGCGGTGTTAGTTGTCCATGAGAAGTAAAGCTGGCCATACATTGAGATATTTTCTTCATTCAACCTGTGGGCTGATTCCTTCATCAATGCTCATGAGTGTTGATCAAGGAATCTCTCGCTGTCTCCATTGTATACTGATGGTGGCCACTGGCTGTTGTCAGAATACCCCAACAGAGCTGGCAGTTTATTGGCTGTCGAATCTGTTTGTTCAAAGATTTTCCCAACCAGCTCCTTTGATTAGCTGATTGATGGATTCTGGCCAAATGGGTGCCAACAGCGGCACCCACTGTGCAAATTTCAACTGGCTCATCAAGATCTGGCTGAAATTCGCACAGTGTATGGCACGCATTACTCCTGAGCACATTCCAGCCTCCCCCCCAGTGTAAGATGTAATCTGGACTAGATCTGGGCCACTAGTGAGGGGGTACCATTCCCACTCCCACCCCCCAGTTGGGGAGACCCATCACAGTGACAACTATAACAGCTTATACACAAGCATCAATGCTGGATCTTTCTGCGACCAAGGACATTGGTCGGCTATCAGTATAGTGTCATCTGCGTCACTGGCTACAGTTTGTTGATATTTACATGCTGGCCCAAACCAGCAGTAACAGCCAACAGGGTACATGTACACATGTAAACATTACCACAGATGTTACATACATATGTACAGACAAGATTGTACAGTGGATCTGGCTGGGAGCAAAGTAAAGTCATGTGTCTCAGTGACAGCTGAGGCACTCTGCTGCAGCCAGCCTGCCCTCCATGTATCCTCATGTACCAGTCACTGGAAGCCCCCTTTATTGCATGCAACCCCCATTCTGATGGTGCCACCTCACCTCTTTCTCGCTGGCACCACCTGCTATACCCAGCAGCCCGTATAGATCCATCTGCATCAGCTCCTTGGAGCCCGGAGGCTTCCCCGCTGCCATTATTATTATTATTTTCTGTCTTCTACTCGATCATGAATTTCTCCCGCACACTCCTAATGACGATTCCAATGTCCGCCGCTAGGGTTCTCGGGAAATATAGTTCTGCCGCTGTCGCAGTCTTCTGGCGTCTATTGCGTGGGACACGCCGGGAATTGTAGTACTGTACTGAAGACAATACAGAGATTTCTTGAGAGGTGTCTCTGTTCTCGGACTACTATTCCCAGGATGCCGTGCGGCTCACAATGAATACAAGTCTTCCTGCGAGTTGCCAGACACCGAGACTGTCAGTGAGGACTGCTGACAGGTACAGAGGACCTGTGACACACCTAGGCTGCCTTAAGGTAATTAAAGGAGAACTTCCTGTAATGTTATTAGGGTGGAAGAGATCCGTGTAATGTAAGGTTAAAAACGAGTGACAATGTATTTAAGGTCTGATGTAGCTGTAGATGATCTGTGTATGTGGGGCAGACATGATCTGCTCATTATGTATGTGATATTTGTGCCTTGATGGTCACTTTTCCCTATTGTGGACTATTGAATCTGTCCTAAGGGCTAATAGCCAGAGGACATGTCAACTTAAGATGACCACACATGTTACAATCTGATTGTACAACCTCCTTTACGCCTGATATGGTACTATATGAATGAGTTGTTTAGGTTTATTCTCATGTTACATAGTTTGGTAGCTGTACAATCAGATCGAATAGTGTAGGGCTGGCAACAGCTATGTAGTACAAGGGCCTGCCCAGGATTGCCACCTTTTCTTCAAGTGAAACCGCGAATACTCTAGCAACGCGCGCTGAATTTTTTTATTTTTGATAATATAGAGGGGAGGCAGCCAGCGGAGGGAGTAAGGAGACCGCCTATAGAGGACTTCAAATCCCAGCAATACATTATATAGCAATACAAAATAATATGAAGCTACATAATCTGTGTTGTTCTGGGTTGGGGCCCTGATGTCTCCAGGTGGCCTCTGCGGGCTCTCGGGTGGATGTGCGGGCTCTCGGGTGGATGTGCGGGCTCTCGGGTGGATGTGCGGGCTCTCAGGTGGGCTGTGCAGGCTTCCGGGTGGTCTGTGCGGGATTCCAGGTGGGCTGTCTGGACTATGGTGTCTTACCAGGGCTCCGCAGGTGGGCAGCACAGTGTCAGGAAGCCGGAGGAAGAGGAGGAAAGAGCAATGACAGATGCGGCTGCCGAGGGCCCCGGCAAGCGCAATCTCAGGCAGCCGCATCTGCCTGTAAATGAATCTTCCTCTGAGCTGTGGGCACAGGTTGCCCGTAGCTCAGAGGAAGATCCAGTTTCAGGCAAATGCGGCTGCTCGAGATCGCACTTGCCGGGGACATTGGCAGTCGCATCTGTCAGAAAATGTAAAGTGCCGGTGTCGGCACTGAGTGTCTTGTGCCCGCTGGCTGGACACCTGCACACAAGACTCCAAAATCAGGCTGTCCGGGCGTAAACCGGAGGGTGGCAACCCTAGGCCTGCCTGATTGCATACCGATTGCTTGGATTGATTACGTCGGTCCTCATATTACATAGTGTTGGTAAATCTAAAGTGGATTGTACAGAGATTGTATGGTCAGATTGTAACGTGTGTGGTAAAACCTTAGTGGGGGCTATAGACCTGAGGTGTTTTGTTGTGTCGTGATTTGGAACATCCTAGTGTTTTTGTGTGAAGTCTCGATTTTTAAACGATATCTATACATAGGAACAAACAAGTAATATGTTGTGTCCCCAATCATTAGACGGTACTGCAGGTACCCAAAATGATCTGTTCATCCTGCCAGAGTTCCAGCACCCTTGCAATGAACTGATATCACACACAATGTTATCAACCTTCTCAGCTATCGTCTGTGAACTGCAGAACACATCCCCCTTATGTTACAGAGATGAAGAGAGGGGGAGGTGATCTGCAGTCCTGTCCTACACTGATCCTCTATAGACACAGTACGGTGAGGGAGAGTTCTCAACACTGGAGCAGAGAGAATCTGGAGCAATTGTCCACAGTAACCAATCAGCTTCTCTCTTCTGTTTGTTCAGTTAAGCTTTGAAAATGGAAGAGAGAAGCTGATTGGTTGTCACGGTCAACTGCTCGAAATTCTATCTTCTGTAGTTATGAGAAAACTCCCCTAGTGAGTGATTGTCCCTCTCATATAATCAGCAATATAACACAGAATTTTATATCTCTTGTCTGACAGGTGCCATGGATAGGCGATGTTTTCATTGTGCATCCAAGTTCACTATCTTCAAAAAAGAGGTGAGTTTACCTGCCCGCTGTTAATGGTGATGTATTCTTTCAACAGACATTGGTACTGAACTCCCGTCACAAAAACTTAACTGTCGTGTTCCGCAATAGCCACAAAGAATATAATTTCACCTTGTGTGCGCCAAATGCCTTCGCAAACTGAGATATGACCTTGTAAATGTGGCTGTGACGTCATCACTGTGCTGCACGTAACCTGAGCAGAGCTGTGGGAGGGGCCTAGTTAATCGGGAAGCCAGGTGGCAAGTCATTACACGCCGCCTGGCTTCCTGAATGGGACTTTTTCAGTACTCGGTATCGGCGAGATCCGAAAAGATATATCGGTACTCGAACTCAAGACCGAAGTACCGGTATCAGTGCATCCCTAGTATATACGCAGCTTTAGAAGCCAATTAACCTACCTGTGTGTTATAGAAATCCAAATCTGCCCCTGAATGCAGGACTCCAGCACTGCAAGGCCATAGAGCCAACTACTCATGGATCATTCTGTAGAATTGAAGTGTTTTCTGCAATGAAATGTACAAAGACTCATGTTGGTGAGGTATATTTTTGTGTCTCTTTTGCAGTGTGGCTGTAAATCGTGCGGACGTGCCTTCTGTGCAGGATGTCTAGGATTCACTGCTCTTCTCCCTGCATATGGCAACACCAAGCAAAAGATCTGCAAGAAGTGTCATGAGTCTATCACCAGGTGAGCATGTGCAGCAAATGACCCTGAGCTGGCATGTATGGATCCAACTACGGCTCACACATATCATGTGTAAGAGTCTATAATTGAAGGGTTACTACACCTTTAATGGTATTAGATAAATAAAGTCCATATACTGTACGTCACATCTTAGATTAAAGGAGAACTATGAGGTGAGTGATTTTCACTCATTTTATAGTTCTAGCCGACCTGTAACAATGAGACTGTCACAGGTCGGCTCAGTAGATCGGGAAGTGAGCGAACACATACCGGCGTTCGCTCACTTCTCGATCCTGTCACGGCTCTCTGCCGTGACAGGGGAGGGGCTGAATTTCCCCCTCCCCGCTCCGATCCTCCAGTGCTGACTGGCGGAACCGAAGGGGGAGGGGTTGGTTCACAGCTGGGTCTGCCTATAGACAGGTAGAGCCAGCTGTCACTCACGCAGCTGTCACAGACTTACCCGGCTTACGCGGCGCGTCCTGTTGCTCCTGCGACGTGCCGTCCCAGCAACGGCGTCACGCCGGCTCCGCCCACGGGGCGCGGTCCAGGGGGTAAAAGTTCAGAGAGTTTGTCACTCGGCGTTCTCTCGTTGTGGAGTGCCGAGTGACGAACGTGAAACCGCAACCATCGGCATCTGTGAACCGCCGCTAGCAGCAGCTCCAGTTAACCACCCCAGCAGCTAGCTGAACCTTTCAGCAGGCAGGAGGGGAGCAGGAGGATCGGACATCCGGCACCCTTAATTCCTCTCCATACACTGTACCCAACTACACTACTAAGCGCAAGTAATCTGGATCTCACTATAGCAGTTCCGTTGATAACCAGTCAGCACTGTCATTACCCCTGTGCTTTTAGGGGTCGCATACTTGTCTGCCATTAACTGTTGCATACTGCTGCCATGAATGCCTGAATTGCTAATTGCTCACAATTCATTACCTCTGTGCATTGGGGGGTCGCATACTTGCTTGCCATTAACTGTTGCATACTGCTGCCATGATTGCTTGAACTGCTATTTGCTCACAACTCATTACCTCTGTGCATTGAGGGGTGCATGGCCACTTGTCGTTAACCTATTGATTACTGCTGCCATGAATGCATGAATTGTTATTCGTTTCCAAGCGATAGTCTTTGAGTTAACAGTCACACATTCAAAGAACGTTGCCTGCCAAACTCTAGGAGTTGACTGGTTCCCAGGTTGTTCCACAAACACCGCAGATAACCGGTGGATACAGCCCACCAGTCTCTAGCTAAGCTACAGCCTCAGGGCTACTTATTATTTCAAACGCAGTGGTATATGATGCGTACGGTTTACCTACCGCACTGAGTGTAATAGGGAGCCCTCACTGAACCTCCGCGTACAAACAAATTAGCATAAGTTCTGCAGCTGAGATCCAGTCCATTACATCAGCCTTGACAGCAGCTGGGCGGATCCAGACATAATTGTCGGGATCCGCTTCAGCTGCGGCGTCTCAGTATACTGAGCTTAGGGTGACGGGAGGACGCTAGCCCTAATCCCATAGTTCTTCTTTAAAGGAGAACTATGGGGTTAAGGCTTTTCCCCATAGTTCTCCTTAGGGTAACGGGAGGAGAACTATGATTCTCCTTAGGGTCCTCCCGTCACCCTAGGCTCAGTATACCTTTTTTTTTATACTGAGACGCCGCAGTAACCCGCGAGCTGCTGCTCGCGGTATACTGAGACGCTGAATCTGATCCCGACGATAATGCCGGGATCCGCCCAGCTGCGTGACTGACAGCTGGCTCTGCCTATCTAGAGGCAGAGCCAGCTGTACCCGCCCCCTCCCCCGTCCGTTCCGCCAGTCAGCGCTGGCGGAGCGGGGAGGGGGAATCCAGCCCCTCCCCTGTCACGGCAGAGAGCCATGACAGGATCGAGAGGTGAGCGAACGCCGGTATGTGTTCGCTCACCTCCCGATCTACTGAGCCGACCTGTTACAGTCTCATTGTCACAGGTCGGCTAGAACTATGAGGTGAGTGAAAAGCACTCACCTCATAGTTCTCCTTTAAGTTAAAATACTGCCCTTCGTTTTTAAAAACGATTTTTCCTTTTCTTACTTCTGTCGGCTCCCCCAGACCCTAACAGACGAGCACTTGGTTGCGAAAACTCAGCCTGCCTAACCCCACATGTGCCGTCCCCTTACTCTCTCACTAGAAAAACGCTGATCTCAGCAGCTGCTGCGAGAAAGAGTGGACTGCGAATGCGTGGTTAGGCAAGCTGAGTTCATGTAGCTGAGTGCGGGGAGGAGAGAAACTGTCACAGGCAGCCGAGCGCTGTGGAAGGACAGCGCAGTAAGCGGCCGGCGTCTCTCCTCTCTGAAACGCGCAGCCTCCTGTCACAGATCGGCAGAGCAGTGTGGGCGGAGACAGCCAGCGCTGTCGCAGCAGGCTGAGCTCCACTTGCTCAGCCTCCTGTGACAGCTGTCAGGATGCAGAGCGGTACAAGCAGTCCGTGATCACTGATTTGTACATAATTGAGGACAGAGTATGGTTACTATATCCTCAATTATGAATGAATGGGAAGTGATCTACATCACCTCCTGTTCATTCATGATTGTGGTTATAGTAAACACACTCTGTCCTCATGTTATGAATGAGCAGTAACACTCAGAGGATTCCTGTTCATTTATAACAGGGGCTGCAGAAAAAGAGATTGAGGGCTCAATCTCTTTTTTTATTTTAAAAGGGAAATCTCAGGGGTCTGTTTTAAATCCCTAATATTTCCCCAAAGCCCCTAAAAGTACAAAATAAAAATATTTAATAAAAATCAAATATTTTTAAAAATCTTAAAGTTAGAAAAAAAGAAATGTCCTGTTTCGGCCCGACATTTTTTTTTATTTTCAGTTTGGTTTCGGTATTAAAATTTTTATTTTGGTGAACCTCTAATATCTAAATATTTCAGCTTCTCTTATTTTTCTCCTATTTCAGTGGAAAGGATGATCAAAGAAACAGTTGCTCCAAATGGTCTCCACCAGAGAATTACAAGAAGTAAGTATTATTTCACGTTTTTTTATGTAACATTAACTGTGTCGATTAAATATTTAATTTGTTTTACAACATTATTTAAATACTCTTCATCACAGAGACCTGATGTGTACATTATCATATAAATGATGGTTGACATAACATTGATATATATATATATATATATGAGATGATGTATTTTAGAGATTTGTTTTGCACTTCCTTGGTGAGAGCTTCCAATGTATAAGATAAGCAAACAATACAAATGGATATATTCTATTTAATGGGAAAGCCAAGTAGGCCAGTCCACATAAACCCTCCTTACGTCTGTAACTGATAAAGGGATGTCAATACTTATAATAGTTCAATTTCTCACGGGGTTTTCTATGAAGCTTCTCATTTACCCACGTCATGATATAATGTAGCTAGTAGTAGGTCATCAGATCCAACTGAACTTGTTTAGTAATTTAGAAAAAGTTTTACTGCTTATTGAATTGACTTTCTCATCAAGAGATGTCACAATGTCAAACTAGCCATTGTAAGGATCACTAGATCCAAAGGATAAAATCAAAGCATTCACAACCACCTACAAAGCCATGCACAACCCTAATCGTCCCCTCCTCCAAAGACTTCCTGCTCTCTAGCTTCCTTGTCAACTCCACCCATGCTCGCCTCCAAGACTTCTCTAGAGTCTCTCCCATCCCTCTGGAATTGTCTACCACAACCTATCCGGCAGTGTCCTACACTGAAGACTCATTTCTTCAGGGAAGCCTATCCCACCTCAACCTAACCACGGAACTATTACTTTCTCAAACAATTCATCCTCGCACAGCTACCTCCTCATGTATCACTTGGCCCTCCCTTTTTAGATTGTAAGCTCTCACGGGCAGGGCCCTCCGTACCATCTTGTCTTGATTTGTATTGTAACTGTAGTGTCTTCCTTATATTGCAAAGCTCTGTGCAAACTGTTGGTGGTATATAAATCCTGTATTATAATATAATAATAATAATAATAATAAACGGGGTAGAGAATACTCATCTAATCTTGTGTTGCCATCTCACTGGCTGGTTGACTAAGTTGCTGCTCCCTTGCTGGCACCTTCTGCAGATTGTTCAATCTCCGTCTGCAAGAAAGCAACAACTTAGTCATCCATCCACTGAGGAAGCAACACATGGAAGCAGCAGAGTATTTTTTTTAAACATTCAAACATTTTTATTGAAAATTTCCAAGTGCCCCACAGGTGTTACGGTGTACAGTACAGTCATACAACTCAGAGTGGGCTGTTCATGTTGAATCTGTTGAGTTCATGGAAATGAGTTGAGGTAGTATAATGGATCCAGATGGACCACGTTGCTCTGAACTTTTCCTCACCCAACTTTTTGAGGGAGGCATTCAGATCTTCCAGTCATAACATCGAGCACTTTGACCAACCAGAGAGATGCTGGGAGTGTGGTGGTTTCCTTTCCAGAGCCTGAGGAGCACCTCCCAAAACGGTTGCTCCCCACCAAAATGAGTTACCATGACTTCAAACAATATGCTAGGTAGGGATCCCTGTACTAATCAGCTGTCGAAATTTGCTGGAACTAATTCATTGTACCCTAGCTGCATTGAGCAGGTGTATTGTGAGAGAGGCTTTATTGGAGGGATTCAGAAGAGCATTGAGGTGAAGGAGGTAGGTAGCTGGGTGTGCCCCAGGGCGTGACCTGTAAAACAACATATGGTACCTCCCACCATGACCCAATAGGGCCTATTTGGTCTCATTCCCAGAAGATGTGGAGCATCACATTGAGGTGTTCTACACAACACCAACATGTCTCTGGGAATTGACTGTTCAATTCATATCGAGTAGTGGGGACCCTGTACCAGTGAGAGAGGACTTTTGTATAGATGATTTTTGTGGAAACATAAGTAGTTTCTCACATTGCATGGATATAAAGATTATGGAGAGGGCTGATTGCCATTTTTTGTTTTAATCAACAGAGGGGTAAAGTCATATGGAGGAGCTATCAGTTCTTTGTAGAGAAGCAATAGGGTGTCTCCTACTGGGGTCACAAGTCTACAGATGTTCTCGAGGGCAGGCTAAGTGTCCGACCCAAGTCAGGCAGGGGAGTATCTTAGTTTCTATTAGTGCTGTTGCTAGTGAGTTGTTGTCAGCAACAGAATCGCATGTATGACAGTGCTAATTGCAGTAGACTTTGTCAACCAGATATTAGGTTACTGTAGCTAACTGACAAAATGTTGATACAATTTGCACATCGTCATTGCACATTGCACTACCTTAATAAACAAGTAAAGGTCAAATTAGCGTTTTCTAATCTAATAAATATATATATTATTTAGCTTTCATTATGATGAGCCAGAACTGCAGGTCTGTGTAATATTAAGTTCTTATAACGTTCTCACTATGAAAAACCAGGTTTATAAAACTTATTTTTATTATTGTATTTATGATATTTCTATTACTTATAGTCATTGGATGACGATGTTGACATTTCTTGAAGCCTGACATTTCCTGAACATGTGCAAAACCGAATAAGGAAATAATTTCTTGGGGGGAAAAAAAATCAGTAAGGCTAATCAAGTTCTATTTCAGGAGAGTGGCAGCCTTTGAAGCCAAACAGAGTCAGCAAAAGGTGATACAGATGGGGCCCGGATTGCCACATGGAGGGACAAATCTCAACTTTCAGGGTTTGTCAGCAGAAGATAGAGCGATAGCTGAACGCCTGGAGAAACTCAAGCAAGAAACTAAACCTAGTGAGTCGAAATGTCTGGAGTTTTCTGTTCGCAGCAATGCTACTAAAGAAAAAGCTGCATTTATTTATAACCTATAACTTTATTTGCCATTAGAAGTTAGTGTACAACACCCGATACATATTCATCACCCTTTGTACATACTTTCATAGTGATTAGGAGCTGTGAACCTGAGGCAACTACTGAATGTACTGCTTCAAGTTCTGCCATACATGCAGAACTACCTCTGTTCTATCAAAATCTCATAGAGTATTCTTCCTAAGCTGCTGCTTCACACGCTGTATATTGTAACCAAACAAGGCCATAAAGCAGAACCCTACCCAAAATGTAATTTCACTGGAAGGAGAATAGAGTACCTCATGTGAGACGGGACCCTGCACAGCCTGATTTTAGTACCACTTGTGGCAATCAGATGGAAATGTGGCTGTAGGTGGCAATAAGTAGCTCTTTTGTCATCCAGATCTTGGATGACAAACCTATTGCTACCTATTAAATGACTGTCCTGAAAAAAGCGTGTAACCAGTGAAGTCTTAAGCTGCTAACTTTGAACACTAGGACTGTACTGAGACTATTATAGTGTAATCAAGTGACTGATCAGCAATTTGCACAACTAAAGTCTTCAGCACTAAGGATGGGCTCGGGCGTGTTCGCAGCCCAGGAAGCTGACAGCGCGCAGCGCCAATCACAGGCACTGAGACATTTCCCGATCTCTGCAGCTGCGGACCGGGCAAATGTCTCAATACCTGTGATTGGCGCTGCACGCTGTCAGCTTCCTGAGCTGCGAACACGCCCGAACCCTTTCTTATTCAGCACCCAGTGGCCATCAGGAATGCACATCTGTAGGAGCAGAGTCCAACTGACTCTGGGGGTCAAAGGTAAAAAATTTAATTGCGTGTTGTTTGGGATGGGGGGTTAGTGATGCTTTTATATACTTACATTACATTTCAGCATTAAACACATGGCTCAACACCTCAGAAGCACCTGAAAGCACAATGCATTTGGCTTCTGAGTGAGATGCCTGTGTGGATGAGTGCCATGCTTGACATCTGTCTTTTCTTGTGCAGAAACCATTGCCTCAACAGCAGAAATAGAATCCAGAGTGCGAGCTCTACAGAAAGGCACACAAGGCCCTGTTCCTTCTCTACAGGAAATTGAAGACCGACTAGCCATATTGCAAGGGAGGACGCCTCCATCCAGAACAACCAAGCCGGTATTAAGTGTGATATTTCCTTTTATGCTTTCAATTAAAACAGAGCAGTCTTGAGAATTTAACAACTCGGCAGGTAACTCCAGTGAGAGGTGAAAGTTAATGGACATCAGTTTAGTTTTTTTAATGAAACTTATTAACTACGTAACTATATAATTCTGCAACCTAGTTAAAACTAAATTGCATTGTTTAGTTGTTTAGTATCTTTCTTGGGAAATACCAACTGTAAAATTCTACCATCTTCACCCACCCTCTCTCTAAGCGTTAAATACCTTGGCGAGAGTCATTACACTAAATGGCACAAAATCATTTAAATGTATCCTCATGAGTTTGTCATACATATTGGGAATTGCCATATAGTATACCGGCTAGAATGACATACTCAAACACCATTTAATTTCATATATTATGTATGTATGTATGTATGTGTGTGTGTGTGTGTGTGTGTATATATATATATATATAAAAAAAAATAGTGTGGTCAAAAATTAAAACATAACAGTATTGTGTGTCTTATTTCTTTTAATGGACTGATAGTGAACTGTCCAATCATAGGTATAAAAGGTAATTATGCGGTAATAACTCGCCAATTTACAGGGGGGGTCATTACATATATATAAATATACACACAGCGTTTTGTTCATTTTGTAGCTTCATCAACCAACAGATACTCAGCCACAAGGTAAAAAAAATATGTATAAATAAAGATATTTGCTTTTCCATCAGTCTTTTGAGATGTATGTAGTAGAGAAAAATGTCATGATTTATAAATCGGGACTGAAAATATTTTTTTATATTGTGAAAAATATAAAAGATCAGGTCACGTCGGTTAAATAGACACCAAACATGTCAAGCTTTAAAATTGCGCGCACCCGCGACATCGCAGAAAACGACGGCAACCAAAATTGGCCATAGGCGACACTTTAAACGTTTTTACCGCTCATCAGTTTAGTGTTATCAGTGATTGATGGCCCTAGACTTATTGCTCTCACTGCGACGTTCGCGGCGATATGTAACATGTGCGGCGTAATGGGCGCAATCGTCTTTTTTGCACGTATGCGCCCCCGACGCATGTTTGCATGCGTGTATGTATGGGTGGGGACTTTAAAACATTTTTTTTTTCTTTAATTATTTTTTATGTGTAACTTACATTTTTTTTTGGGGGGGGGGGACTTAAATTTTTTTTTTTTTTCACTAAACTTTATCGCTATCACATACGGGGGCTAATAAAACCCCCCTATGTGATAGCAAAATATGTGACAGGTCCTCTTTATGGAGACATCAGGGGTCTCCAAGACCCCTAATGTCACCTAGGACCCCCCAAAAGAAGCTGATGAAGCAGAGATCTGCTCCATCAGCTTCTTTGCAGCTTCTGAAGCTGGAGAGTGACACAAGAATGCGGAAGTGATGTATTATACAACACTTCCGCATTCTTTCAGAGGAGAGGGGACCGGAGGGAGCTCGTGTACCGAGCTCTCTCTGATCCCCTGTGTCACAGGCGACATGCTGATCCCGGGCTCGCACCGGGCACAGCGGAGCCCGGGATCAGCGGGACAACAGCGGGGGGGGACCGCGGAGGGGGGGGACACCCGATCGGCACCCCATACATGCGATCGGCCGGCTCTACAGCCGGCGGATCGCATGTATATTAACGGGCATCGCTGCCCGTTTTTACATTCCGGCCATTTCCCGCTCGCGTGCGCCTGATGGCGCGCGCAAGGGGGCGTGTCTGAGCGGACGTCTAGAGACGCCCGCTCAGATCGAGAGAGCTCCTGGCCGGCCGTTTTTTTACTACGGCCGGCCCGGAGGTAGTTAAAGTGACACTAAATTTAGGAGTTAAACCTTAAAAGTGCATTCAGATACCTTAACCATTAGCAAAAATGTATCTTATTTGTGCATCACTCGGCTTTAGAACTTCAAATCATCTCTGAATTGGTGCTGACACTGTCCTTCCTTCTGGAGGGTGGCTACTTTTGTTCCTCATGGTCGCTGTGTGTGTTGTAAAGTAGCCACCACTCCAAGTTCACTCCCGTGATGGACCTCAATCTCAATACAAATGAGTAAGATAAACATGAGATTGTAGCCCATCACGAGAGCAAACCAACAAATAAAAAAAAATTCCAGAGTTCTCCTTTAAATAAGTAGGGAATACTTGGAGGACAATTTGTAAATCATCCGCTCAGCCATAAACTGAGTGAATGCCGTTCACATGGTACTCCCGCCACTATGATGGAGATGAGGAGCATAGGAAATTCATGTGCTCCAAGGCTCTATCTATTGGCAGGAATGTAGTTCAAATGTTGTTCGCCCAGCGTATTGATTATAAATCATCCCCTTGATGTGTCCTTTTCGTATATTTTACTATTATTTGGTCGTGTATTTTTGTGGCACAGACTTCACTGTTCTACCACCCACTAACAATCTGAACAAAGTTGATCAAATAGACAGCAGAACTGTCGCTAATACGGAACTAGACGCAGAACAGCTGGAGAGGGAGAAGGATCGGATTTTAAGAGAAGCAGCAGTAGAATTGCAAGATGAGAATACAAGACAAGAGAAAATGTTGGAGATTGCAAAGAGGCTCGCAGCACTACAAGGCAAAGATCCCAACAAAGGTAACACATAATGCATAAAAAGCCTCGTTTGTCCTGTTCAGCACAGCTCAAATTTCATCCAACTGAATAAGCCAAAATTCGATCCGTGGGCAGCCCTGCTGCTGCCACCCGGCTTTACAAAAAATTACTTTTCAATTGAATTTTTTTAAAGGAGCCAGAAGCAAAAATGTAAGCCAGACAGTGACTGCAACCCATCAATTGCATTCACTGTTTGGTATTTTGACAGCGGTGGGCACTGGCTGGTAGGAGAATTTTTAAATAAATCAGCTAAGTATGGCACACATTTTTGACCGAACAGCGACTGCAGCCAATCAGATAAAGTCGCTGTTAATGTATTGTGACAGCAGGAGAGAATCCTCTGTTCACGTCTAGTGTGGATGGAGGAATCTGTTAGATTTCCACCAGGACTCCCAGTGAGTTAGATGGCCACATTATGCAGCTCTTTACATTTTATTCATTCACATCAGTTACTGTTTACTAGCTGTAAATATTTTACCTGATCATCTGCTTTAGTGATTATTATAATAGCTTGTGACCTTGTCACTGATTGTAACCATGTAAACAGGAGGCTGATATCAAGTCAGATTTGATACTTTTGCTAATTATATGCAAAATTAAATTTTTTAACAATTATGTAACTGGATGACATGCGTGGTTTTTTTTTTTACATCTAACTCCCCCGGGACTTACAATGTCAGCTGCCTGACTGGCGATCTGCTAAGGCCTTGTTCACACCAAGCGCAGAGCAGAGCAGCTGCAGACCGGATCAAAACTGCGTCCAATGTATTCCAATGGTATTTTTTGCTCCAGTTCATATCGCAGCGTGCAGTTCCAGAGCAGGTCCCGAGCAGGTGAAAAAACTGCAGCAGGCCCTATTTTACCTGCTCTGGATCTGGAAACGCACTGAAAGCCCATGTTAAACTAAAAAAAACAGCCCGGAACGCATCAAAAACGCAGCACAACCTACTGCACTGCGTGTGCAGAAACCTGAGCGGATCTGCATTTGGTGTGAACAAGGCCATAAGCTGCTAATCATATACCAGTTGTATTCTGTATCATTGCCGGCGTTTTTAAGCCCTGATGAAGGGGGACTTCTAGTAGTACTGTGGTGCTCTCATTCTTACCTGCATTCAGTCTTGTTTGTCAGTTTCAGTTTGCAGTTTTTAATTTACAGTAACTGTGGACAACATCAAACTGCCTGACAGTGATGAAGAAACTGAGGAAGAAGGTGTTCAGAGGATCCTGAAGCAGGTAAGACTCTGTTATCTCTCTCACTCCCTGGCAATCCTAGAGAGTACTGTCCTATGAACAGCACTAGGAAACCCTGAGACTGTATTGTAAAGTACATGGTAACCTGCAGGAAACTGATTAGAAAATCCACAAATGTGTGGCCCCTAATAAAATTTGTGTAGCACGTGAAGACATGTAAAATCCCATGAGCTGCATGCCTTTATGGAACATGTAAAAATTAAATATCGGGGGCGTGGCTTGGCTATGGCGGCGTGAAGACGTGTTTTGCTCGAGCTCTGCAACTATCTGGGACTTAACAGTTGATCTAATCATCCTACACCACTGCTTTTGATGTTGACAAAGACTAAAACACGTACCGGCAACACCGAGCGGCCTCCGACATCCCTGCAGCGATACCTCACTTCTCCAGCCGCCTCGACGCGCAGCTCCTCCAAATCTGCCATGGCCCAAGCGACTCAATGGTGGAGACCCGATCAGCTGGTTACCCAGCCCCCTCATAACAGTACCAACCGTCGCTTAGCAACTGTTGTTTGTTTGTTTGTTTGTGTCTTCCCCCTTTCCCTACACTACTCCCTTGCCCGCCCAGCTTACGTCTCACTCTACCCACCTAAACTCCTAGGAACCTCCCTCACCCTCCCTAATCCAGCTCTCTACCTACTACACCACACTACCATCTCCCTAAAATCCTACAAACGCTCCCTGATACGCCACCTCATCAACGCCGCCCGGGCATGCATTGCGGCCTTATGGCGGAAACCTGAACCCCCAACAGTAAACCAATGGCTAGACAGGATACACGAGATTTATCTCATGGAGGATCTCACGAGTTCCCTTAACAACACTCCTGCTAAATTCAGAGCCACTTGGTTTTACTGGATCGACTTTCTCTCCTCCCCGGCCTATACGGAGCTGTGTCAGGGCCCTGACGCTTGATACCCTCTACCAACCTGAACCCTAGTCTAGACCTCCCTTCCAACTTCCCAATGGGATGTGTACCCACCCCATCTTTGACCCCCCCTGTATACCTGCCTAACATACCCGGACCCCACCAAACTGCTCCATACTACTTAACAAGCAGTTAACATATCTCCGCACCACTCCCTGAGCACAGTGACATGCTGAAGACTCTGGTCCGCCGACCCCCTCCCCCTCACCTGTCCCATACCCTCGAGGGATTGTCAGCAACCCCCAGGTGGGACGGTATGTCTGTAACTAATGGACCTGGACGGATCACCAACTCCCCCCCCCTACCCCTCTCTTCCCCAGTCCTGGCCATTGGCTGGGACATAAGTTTATCTGTTTGTTCGTTTATACCTGCCTGAGAAAGACCTATCTCAGCCCCTGAGCGGGCGACGTATAACACTGTGTACTGATTGTGTACGATATACTCTCGTGGCCCTTGGGGGCAAATGTTGTGTATTGTGCTTTTTTGTTGCTTACTTGTTTTGTATGTGAAAAAAGAAAAATAATGTTTGAAATAAAGAATTTATAAAAAAAAAAAATTAAATATCGCTCTTGCATTGTTAATGGCACCCCAAATGCATCAAGCAAAGCGCACTTTTTTTGTACACAAAGTTGCTCAACAAATGTGCAAAAAAAGCGTTGCATAAACTTGTTTGCTGCCTTTTGATGTGAATGGACTGCCCTATGTCCACGTGAGCCAATTGTGCATAAACACAAAGCGTGACGATGCACTTTGCAAGTGTGCGTGGGGGCTCACAGTCAAATATGATAATCGTGCCAATATGCAAGTTCTCTGGTGTTCTTCATTCTTCAATGTTTATCATTTCTGCTCCAAATGTGTGTGAAGACCACCCAGAAAAGTTATTGGTGCTGACACACGATTCTGAACAGACTGCGAGGGAAGATGGATGCCCAGGGAAACACCTCAGCAGCAAATATCTTTGTGTTGCATCAAAGTAACCCATCAGATTTCAACTTTTTTTTTCTCCATCTATCATTTGACTGCAAGGTTGATTCTGATGTATTGATGAGTCTGTATAGATACGTGTTGCATTCTCCATATATTCGTTGTACAGTCTTTTACTGCTTGTGGAAATGTTTACAGCTAGCTGAAGAAAGTGCTCTGGATGAGGCGAGTGGCTACAATATTCCCCCCCAACAAAGTAGAACTGAGGATACCAAGGGAAGAGTTCAAGCAGAAAAGAAACTTCCCTCATCCCAAATGGTATGTTGTATATTGATTTTATTCTGCATGAATTAGATGAAACTAAATAGTTATATAGTGACGTTACAATAGCTGTGTCTTCCTATCATCCTTCTGCTTAGAATGTGTTCTGTTATCAAGCCTGGAATGGGAGAAATAGAGTATGAGGCTGCCATTGCTCTGTTTCTGACATGCTATTTCCCTGGCTATCATGCTTCAGGGCTTTCTGAATCACTGATCTGGAACAAGTGTAGGGAGATCATTGATCTGAATAGTGCTGAAGCCAGGGAAAGCTTAGAAAGGGGTCAGTGATGGCAGAGTTCATATAGTTCTCTCAGTACAGGTATCCTTTAAATTACTGCTGTGTCATTTACAAACACTAATGGCTCCAAGGTAGGTTGGAAGTCTTCAGGGAAGTCTCCTTCCTCCTACCTCCCATACTGTGGGTAGGACACAGTGGGGAGAACCCTTGGGAGGGAGGTGATCCTCCTTTTTGGTATTGGTTGCTGGAGTTTGTAGTGCCTCTTACTAATACAGGTTTGGTATGTGTTATGTGTTGTTTCTACCAGTGGATGGCTGATTGGAGGCAAGGGCTGCAGCTCAAACAAATTTTCAATCTGCGAAGCAGCAACCACAGACAATTAAGCAACCAAATTACTCCTTCCTACACTGATATAATTAGTGGTGCACAGCAGTATTGGGGATTGTTTCTCCAATTTCACACTCTTTAACAACCTCCTTTTTGTTGTTGAAATACATAACAAGCGTTATCAGCCTAGTGTGGCTTTGTACTTGCATCAGGCCTTTGGGTCATAGGCAGCAGCCGATCTGTATAAGCAAGGCAAACCTAGCTCCTGTAACAATTGCTTTACAGACTCCTTTGATAATAACATTGGGGTGTGTATGAGCACTTTAGGCTTATTTTACGCCATTTTTTTTGTGCACACTCCTTTGGTTCAAGATGGTTCACAAGGAGAGACTGAGCATAATGTTCAGATCCTGCAATATTATCTGACAGGCTACAATACCAAAACTCTGAATAGTGCTGCCGACATACTGTGGTTTATATACGCTCATTAACATATGCAGATGTTGGACCTCTGATTGCACCAGCACAGTGCCTCAGGGCTTAGAAAGTTTTCTTTTTTTTTTGGTTGCTGTTGATTTACCGCCTGGTCTGGGCTTGTTGTGAGCTCACAAGCTGGAGGGCTATGATTGCTCTCACCTGAGTGGGGGCTAGATAAAGGTGCCCACACACCTTGTGATAATCGTACAATAATCGCGGGAAATCCCGCCATCGTACGATTATCGCAAGGTGTGTGTAAGGCGTGCGGCCATTTCTACTGTACGGTCGCACGACTTATCTTTCCAGCATGTTCGAAAACCAGCCGAGAATCGTACGATTTTCGGCTGGTTTGTAGCATGATCGTGAGATAACTGCCGCACGGGCCGGTGTGCGCAAGCGCACACTGCCCTTCAGCATTGCGTTCATCGGAAGCTCACCCCTCAGCGGGGCAGGCTTGCGATTATGGCAAGTACGATCTGCCTGTCCAAGATGGGCAGATCGTACGTTGTTTTAATTACCTTACAACCATTGCAAGACAAAAGTCTTGCGATGGTTGTAAGGTGTGTGGCCAGCTTTAGGTTGCTTCAGCCCTGATTAAGTTAACTTCACTTTTCTTTTACTTGCTTGTTAGGGCCCATTCACACCACATCCAGAACTAGACCAGAATCTTCACTAAACTGTGTGGATGGAGAAATCTCCCACTGGGCCAATCTTCAGCATCTTGCTCGTCGGCCCCGCTGGCTGTCAAAAAACCTGAACAATGCCTTCATCCAATCCAGATTGTTCAGGTGTTTTGAAAGCCAGCGTGGCCGACCATCTGACCATAGAAAAGCTGCAGATAATCTATAGGTGTTTGTCCAGCTTTATACAGCTCAGAGTGTGCAGCGCTTTCACACTCCATGATGAGGGCCTTTAGCTGGATTAGTACTTTTTTATCTCACCTGGATAGAAGCTATATATGTATAAACATTTAGTGGCTGTAGAGTGAAGGGTCATGCAGCATCCATTGCCATATGCTGACACGGCAATAGAAGTCTTTCTCTTGCCTACATGTCTTGCATTGGTATGACTATACTATCTGCAAAGTATCCAATTTACCTCTTTAACCGCTTCCCGGCCGGCCTTTGTAATTAAACGGCCAACCGGGAGCTTCCTGGATGTGAGTGGCTGTCTAAAGACAGCCTGTTAGCCCCGCCCACTCGTGCACACCGCACTGCCGCGAGCAAGAATTTAAAAACAGGCAGCGATGCCTGTTTACATACAAGCAATCCTCTGGCTATAGAGCCGACGGATCGCTTGTTTGAGGTGCCGATCCAGGCTATAGACGTTGCCCGGTGCTACTTAGAAGTCAGTCACCCTTGGAGGAAATCCAAGAATATTTGGCCTGGTCAGGGCCTAATGAAAGCTGCAAAGCAGCATAACACCAATGACTGGTGACTAAAGGTGCCCATAAACCTTACGATTATCGTACGATAATCGTATGCTATCGACTTTTCGTACGACAATCGTAACGTGTGAATAGAGTGCCCAACCGATAGTACTGTACAATCATACGACAAAAGTCGTACGATTAACATTTTACCGCAAGTCGTCCAGGTGTTTTTTTTTTTTAAAACTATCGCTAATTGAACCTTTCTATAATCGGGGCAGGATGGGGCCGTCGTACGGCGGTTCGATCATCGGATGAAAAGTTTTGTCCGATAATCGTAAGGTGTATGGGCACCTTTTTAGGCTATTGACCTGTCATCCTCCCAGAGGACTTTTCGGCATTCTCCAAAAGGGTGTAAAGGTGCCCATACACCTTACGATTATCCGACGATTTTCGTATGCGATCGACTTTTCGGCCGATAATCGTATGTGTGCATTGCAGTGTCCGACCGACAGTACTGTACAATCGTACGACTTTTGACGGTCAAGCATGTTTGAAAACTTTGCTAGATCATACGGTTTTCGCAAGGTTGCTGGCATTTCCGCCCGTCAAAAGTCGTACGATCTACACTGCGCTTGCGCTAACGAAAATACGGCAAATCAATTACCGCATTTCGTCCAGGTGCTTTTCGTTAATTGCGGCTAAATTAATCTTGCGATCATCGGGGCAGGATGGGGCTGCCGTACGAAAATCGTACGACTATTCGATCATCGGATGAAAAGTTTTGTCCGATAATCGTAAGGTGTATGGGCACCTTTTAGTCTTCTTGGAGGGGGAGAGCTGAGATTTCCCAAGAGCATATCTGGAAGGCAGCCGCTAGGTCCAGTGCCAATCTCTTTTATTGCACTGCGGAGACCAGTCTTTTGGCAGGAAGGAGGCTCTTGGAGGTTTTTTTCCATGGTTATTAATATGATTCAGCCCGCTTTTGGGTGAAACCCGTCCGAATGGAGGACCCAAGTAGGGCTTTGCTTTGTGTTCGGAACAATAAAGTTTTACTACACTGGATATTTCAGTGTACAGCCGGTCCCTTTCTCTTTTGTAGTTATTGGTTCAGACTGTTTTTTATTTGTTGTCATTTTCGAGTTCTTTGCACCAATTTCGATGTGTGTGTCTTTATGTGTTATTCACTTTTCATCATCATTTCGCAGAATAAACCACCTGCACAGAATCCCCCTGCTAGACCTGTAGCTGTAAAAGCACAAGTAGCAGACAGCGATGAGGAGGAGCTGCCCTGGTGTTGTATCTGTAATAAGGACGCTGTACTGCGCTGCCACGGCTGTGATGATGATCTCTATTGTAAGAGATGTTTCAGGTATTGTTCTGTCTTTTTTTCCCTATTCTAGTTTCGTTTACCAGAAATGCACATTTAGGGCTTGTGCAAATGGGTGTCATATAGTGTTTCTGTCTTCACGGAACTGAAGACGGTCCTATTGTGTTCGGAGGGCCCATCCACACAGTGTGTAAACATCAGTAAACTCAAGCCTCCTTCAGAACTGTAAAAATTACAATAGCAAAATTTGCATCTGAGTTCAGTAATTTACACATGTATGCAAATACATGCCTCTAAACACATGTACACGCATACATTTAATAAAATTGTGTGGAAGTGTTTGACATATTTACATGCTGAACAGATACTTGCGTGTCTATACATCTATATGTACACACAATTGGGGGGAATTTATTAAAACTGGAGCAGACAAAATCTGGAGCAGTTACCCATGGCAACCAATCGGCGTCTCTCTTCAGTTTGCTCAGGTAGGATTTGAAAATGAGGCAGAGAAGCTGATTGGTTGCAGTGCAAATCTGCTTCAGATTTTGTGTGCTCCAGTTTTGATAAATTCCCCCCAAACACTTCACTGACCAATTCATGCCTTTTGTACACAGGAAACATCTGCCAGCACTGTCCTGCATAGATGATAAGTCTTTCATTATGCCTGTGTGCATACATATTAGGGATACACTGATGCTGTATTTTCCAGACCAAGTACCGATACTTTTCCTCAAGTACTCAACTATACCAATTACCGATATATCATTTAAAAAATTTTTTAGTGTGCTTGACAGTTTTTCTAAAATAATACAGACTAATGATTTGAGGACAGTGGTGGAGCACCAGGGCCTGGTCGCAGCTGCAACCACTGCGATCTTGGTCGTTCTGCCACTAACTCCAAGCTGTAGAGGGACTACAAATCCCTGCAATACATTATACAGCAATGCAAAATGGCACCAGCTATAGAGGACTACAAATCCCAGCAATATCATATACAGCAATGCAAAATAATACCATCAGCTATAGAGGACTACAAATCCCAGCAATACATTATACAGCAATGCAGAATAATACCATCAGCTATAGAGGACTACAAATCCCAGCAATACATTATACAGCAATGCAGAATAATACCATCAGCTATAGAGGACTACATATCCCAGCAATACATTATACAGAATAAAGCAAAGGGCAGAGACAGCAGGCAATATTTCTAATGTAGCTGTGGCGTTCAGGTTCAGTTTTGCTGCACCTTAACTGTACATACTCTGTGCTGGGTGCCGGCCTGATGTCTCAGTAGGGGGAGATGAGCGGAGGGTCTCAGTAGGGGAGATGAGCAGAGGGTCTCAGTAGGGGAGATGAGCAGAGGATCTCAGTAGGGGAGATGAGCGGGGGGTCTCAGGAGGGGGAGATGAGCGGTGGGTCTCAGGAGGGGGAGATGAGCGGTGGGTCTCAGGAGGGGGAGATGAGCGGTGGGTCTCAGGAGGGGGAGATGAGCGGTGGGTCAGCCGGCAGAAGTGCTGTAAACAGGCACCACGTGGTTCCACAGAAGACTGCCACGAGGTCCCCAGCAATCGCGGGACCTAAGGCAGCCGCTTCAATTGGAATAATTAAAGCGCAGGTATCGGTTTTAGGTATCTGAGCATTTGCACGAGTACTTGGGCACCAATACCAATACTGGTATTGGTGCATCATAAATGAATACCCTTGACTACTGCAGCCATTATTCCCATCATCACTACTATTTTATGATTTTTAATTTAGAATTTTTGTTGCCTTGGTGCTTCCAATGTTTATCAGGCACGTAACTTCCATTATTCTTTTTACCACTATTTTAGGGAGGGACATGATACATTTGACCAGGAGGAGCATCAGACATCCACTTATCGCCCACCACAGAAGAAAAAAGGAAGATAATAAAATTTACAGTTACGGGACTTCATCTGTGCATTCAAGACCTGTATGTGTCTCCACAGCAGATGTGGCTGTAGCCTGCAAAAAGTTATTTCTTTCTGACAGCTTTGGAAGTCACCCACCTGGTGCGGGCCTTTTAGATACACTAATTGGTATTTAAAAGCAGATGGGTCGAGTGCACTGTGGAGTCTGCGTCTGGATTGGACTAGGTTTCTTTTTTCCTGACCGTTATACTGACCAGATTTCGCACCTTGACAATTCCTGACCTCTACGTTACCAGTCCTCGCTATGCAATAGCTTGTATGGAGTGATGGCGGAGCTTATTACTAGGAATGGCTTATACGTATGCTGTTTGCTATACTGGGATATGCACCTTTTATGTAACCTGATAATGATACTTTTGTTTTTTGTTATGTGTTGAAAAATGTAATACAAATTTTGTTTTAAAAAAAAAAAGTCTGGAAAATGTGCCTTAAGCTCCACCTGCTGGCTTAGAATGGGAATACAGAATATTAATATGCACTAGGTAATATTTAATTGACATATAAAAGAGGAAAAACAATTTTAAATTGTCTTTTTTCTTTTTTTCATCCTGACCATAATAAAGAAAGAAATTAAAGAACTAAAGACTACCTATACATACCTCCCATTAAACGATGTGACATCTGCAGGCTCCCTCCCTGGAACTGACATTGTCTATTCTTCTTCCAGGCTCAGCATTTTCTGATTGGTTGACCTGCAATGTACACTAAGCTGAATGTGCAGTTTAAGTTTGCAAGGCTCCTGATTATAAATTAGCCCACATTATAGCATTTGCACAGTGTATGGATGTGTGAACGTTGTTTACAGTGCATTACTGCCACTAGATGGAGCCAAGGAGCACAGGAATTTAAATGTAAGTGAATGGGAAGTAAGGAAGTTAGGTTCCAGGCCTCTCTCAAAAATTACCTAACTGTTATAATACTCTATATTTTAAGCTTTGAAATTAATGTTTTGAATGCTAAACAGTATCAGAGCCAGGAGAGACAGCCAGGAAAAAGAGTAAGGAGAGACAGCCACTGAAGAACCTCCATATGTCTTAAGTGTGCCTCTGTGCCACCAGCATGAACTTATGTGCCTCTGTATCTAGAAGGGTGCCCCTATCGTCGCTCTATGCACCTCCATATCTCCAAATAAACTTCTATATGCCTCCACATCTCCAAGTGTACCTCTTTTCTCCTTCGCATCTCCTCCGTATCTCCAAGTGTACCCCTGTTCGCCTCCATATCTCCAAATGTATCCTTGTGCTCCATCCATATCTCCAATTGTACTTCTATGCTCCTCCCATATCTCCAAGTGTACCTCTATGCTTTTCTGTAGCTCCAAGTGTAACTCCTCTGCCTCTTGCATCTCTATGTGCCTGTGTGTTTCTCCAAGTCTTTCCCTGTGCCACCAACGCATCTCCATGTGTGCACCTCCATACCTCCAATTGTCTCTCTGTGTGCCTCTGTAGGTGTCAACAGTTTTTTGACTACACAGAGCCCCTTCCCGAACCATGATCCTCCATCTGTGCCCTGATCCAGCTGCCAGAGACTCTGGCATGTGCAGTTGTAGAGAAGTCCCCTGCTTATCCTTCCAGGGCTGAGGTCTGTGGAGGAAGGATATGCTAGATGGCGCCGTCTCTGCTGTTGTTTCAATGGTGGTCATGTAACTTGTCGAAAAGAGCATTATTTTGAACCGGTGCAAACCAGGGGGCTATCTGTACAAAACCACTTTACTTTCCCCAGCTTGAAAATCATTGAACTAGGGAATTAGAATGATATCCTGGATTCTAACATCACAATCTGCAGTCACTTCAGCACCCATCCACAAGGGGTATATTGGTACAGAGTGTGGTGGAGTATCTTTTAGACTTAATGAAAACTGACTCTTTTAGTAACTGCGCGGCTTAGTGTCCTCCAAAATTTCCTGGCATAAATGTATTGTGTGCCATTCTTGGAGGACAGAGCGCAGTAGATTAGAACATACCACAACTAGCCAGGCTGCCTCAAACCACAACTGAGGGATAAAACACACTCCAAAATGAGGTTATGTTGTCTGGAATTACTCTCTGCGTATTCAAGTGACTGAAGTGTTTTATACGTTAGAGAGCAGTTTAATTAACCTTTTGTAATAAGTGGGAGATTTTTAGTGCTTTACTATTTAATGATTGCTCATCCATGAGCATATGCAACATAATTAAAGTGTGTGTATAGCCACACTTTCGGATAAGCTGGCCATATATTTATCGTTTTTTCTCATTCAGCTTGATTCCCCCATCAATGCTAAACACCATGGATGGAAGAAACTCCCCTGCTGGCTATTGTATTTTGAGAGCAGCGACAGGGCCGTCACTATAATGAGGCGGCATCTCATTGACGGGGCGGTAGGTGTGGGGGGTGGCAGAGGGGCAGCCACAGCGTCCCAGGTTGCTAAGAGCTCTTAGCAACTTGTGACACTGTGTCCGGCTTCCACCTGCCCAGCTCACTGACGTTACCGTGTGCTGAGTGGGACGCTCTGGATGGCGTCCCACCAAAGTCCTGGAGACCCAGTGACATCAGTGAGCTGCGCGGGAAAGCCCGTTGGGTTAAAGTGCGGTTGCACTTTTGCAGTCAAATTTGAGAAAACCCATCTATATGTTTGTTATGTGTTCCCACTGACACTGCATAATAAAAAATTATTTTTTAAAAACAATTTCTTACCTTTTAGCTGTGTCTATGGTAAAGTCTTTTGTGCAGATTCTAGGCTACTCTGAGCAGTTTGAGAGTAAAAAGGGGGACACACTGAGGGTCAGACGGCACTCTCCAACACACGGGGGGATTTATCAAAATCTGGAGCAGATTTGCACTGCAGCCAAACAGCTTTTCTGTCTCATTTTCAAATCTTGCCTGAGCAAACTGAATAGAGATGCTGATTGGTCGCCATGGGCAACTGGTCCAGATTCTGTTTGCTCCAGTTTTGATAAATTCCCCCCCACAATTTAACCCTTTGTTAGGAGAGACAGTGTTGAAATCTAGTTTACAATTGATACTGTCCTTATTAATTTCCCGGGTGTATCATTGTTTGTTAAAAAAGGAATTAAGGAGATTTCCATTGACATGTAGGGAGCGTTGGACAGAGGATATAGGCATAATTGATGAGGAAACATGGAGGGCAGTACTTCAAGGAGTGCAAGAAGTGTCTATTTCTTTATCACATAGATTAACTCAATTATTTATCATGCATACGGTGTATAGAACCCCGGAGTTTTTATATAAAATAGGGGCCCGCACAGACCCAAAGTGTGCGAGATGCAAGCATCAGAAAAGCACACTTATTCATTTATTATGATGTCCAAAACTAAAAAGCTACTGGATAGGGGTGATTAAATGTCTGAATGGAATATATGGAAATATAGTGGATGTTAACCCATTAACATATATTCTAGGAGGTTTCAATTCTGACTATTTGGATAATAACAGTACTTTAGCAATAAAAAGGCTACTGTTTCTGGCTAGAAGACTATTTGCAGTTAAATGGAACTCGGAGTACCCCCCTACAATTGAAGAATGGAAAGCTGAGAATGGTAAATATGTTCGCTTTGAAGAACATACCGTATTTTGCGGTCCATAAGATGCACCTGACCATAGGACGCAGGGAGGTCCGGCGCGCCTTATGGAGCACTCGACAGACTGTAGCTTCTGACACCGCTTCTATGACAGAAGCTGCAGTTAGTGACCGCTGAGATTACAGCGCCACGGTCTCAGTGATCACACAGAGCAGACGAAGAAAGTCCGTTCTTCGTCTGCTCTATGGTGATCTCGATCGTCGCCGCTGCTCGGTTTTAATACGAGTGATCTCATTAGATCACTCGTATTAAACGAGCAGTGGCTCCTACTACTCGCCCGGCGCCCGAAACTGCATGTCTCGGGCGTCGGGATTCGCTCCATAAGACGCAGGCACATTTTCCCCCTCCTTTTGGAGCGAAAAATATGGTACTTATAGGATGAGGGGCCAGACAGGTACATTTCAGGGAATTTGGAACAGGTGGATTGGAAATATGAATATTAGTCAGACTTGAGACCTCCTGGATTAAGTGGATAAAATATAATATTATAAGTGGGAAAAAAATGTGTAGTATTAAATAGAAAAAAAAATAGAAAGAAAAGGGAGGCAGATAGGGGTGGTGGGAGGCAATGTATGAAGTGTAATGTTGCTGTCTTTAGTTTTTGGATTTTCTTTTCTTGTTTTTGTTCTGTTGGTTGTTTTGGGGTGTGGCTTTATTGTATATGTTCGCAATGTATGGAAAAAATAAATTAATATCTGTTTAAAAACAATTGATAATGAGACCAGTCAGCACAGTACAGAGAGGGTTAATTAGAGTAAACATAACTTAGCACATCCTCCTCCTTTACATGGGGGGTAAAGAAAACACTTAAAATGTAAGTAGAAATGTTAAATATTTTTAAGCTAAGCAATGTAAATGGGAGCATATAACAAATATAAAATGAGTATTACCCCAACTTGGCTGCAAGTGGAAATACACTTTAAAGGAGAACTATGGGGTTAGGGCTTTTCCCCATAGTTCTCCTTAGGGTAACGGGAGGACACAAACTAGCGTCCTCCCGTCACCCTAAGCTCAGTATAACGTGAGCTACAGCTCGTAGTATACTGAGCCCGACAATTATGTCTGGATCCGCCCAGCTGCGTGAGTGACAGCTGGCTCTGCCTGTCTAGAGGCAGAGCAAGCTGTACCTGTCCCCTCCCCCACCCCCCCCACGCTGGATCCGCGTGGGGGGGGGGGGGGGGGAGGGGAGGGGAATCCATCCCCTCCCCTGTCACGGCAGAGAGACAGGATCGAGAGGTGAGCGAACGCCGGTATGTGTTCCCTCACTTCCCGATCTACTGAGCCGACCTGTGACAGTCTCATTGTCACAGGTCGGCTAGAACTATGAGGATGAATGAAAAGCACTTACCTCATAGTTCTCCTTTAAGCTGGCAGGTGATTGAGACTGAAAATCATAAAG